AGTAACACCTAGAGGCTGACAGAATTCAGCTACAAAACCATCCCGCGGGACTATCAACTCATTAGTGACAACCAAGGAGGAAAGGACAGTCTGTCCCCACGAGATTGTCTGCTACGGGTCAGACTGCTATTTCTGATGAGCAACTTCAACGAAACTTACTAAAATGAAGTATAACGCTGCAACGCACCATAAGGAAAAAGCACACGATCTGAGAATTATGAAAAAGTATCCTTGGGCCACACCATGTGTAATACATACTCTCAGCACTCAAACATACCTTGGGGGTCAGCATGAAGACTGAATTGGACACTGCTTGAACAGCACTTAAAACCCTACCTGATAATTCACCTCTATTACCTTTGATAATACAGATGGGACCAACGGAAGAGATAATTTTAAAATCCTAAATCACTTACTTAAAACCAACAACCTGACAGCTAGATGGTTACCTTCAGTATACAGATACTTTTACACAGAAGTGCTCAAAATCAGTCTCACACACGCTATTTAAATAACAAGATAAAACACCTTCTACTTCTTTACCAATCCTATTTCTGCCAGTACATTTGCCATCACTGTAACAAACACCTGAGATAAGTCAGCTTATTCTGTAAAGGTTTGTTTGGGTTCACGGCTTTGGAGGTTTTGTTTACGACCTGGAAACCCTGCTGCTCTGGGCCTCTGGTGAGGCCACACGCTCTGGCAGGGAATGTGTGCTAGAACAGCTTCACGGCCAGGAGCACCTCCGGGCGTTCACCTCAGGGCTGCAAACGAAACACACAGGAGGAAACAGCAGTCCTCAGAGAACATGTCAATCAATGGCCTAAAACCTCCCACCAGGTGCCCCCTTTTCTTCTTCACGGCACCAAGCTGAGGACATGGCCTGCAGGACACAGGAGCATGGATGATCCATGCTAGGGCCCTCCAACGGCCTCTTTCCATCTGCTACGTCCTCCTAACTGCGGTGTCTCCCTATAGACTCATGCCAGTGCACCCCCTTTAACTGTGAGATCTGAATTTGCAGTGAGAAGGTCAAGCACATCACACTAACCAGAGTTCCAGGTCAGCTGCTGTCAGCCTGTGCCGGCAGTTCAGTGGGGGCAGTGTCTTACCCAGTTCTTGCCTGGGTCCCACAGGACTCCAGCGGTGCCAGGACTACCTGCCACGTAGGAATCTTCCCATGAGGATCTTCGCAACGACGGAATCCTTCGTGTAACTCCTCTCTTAACTCCTGCTTTCATCATTATTTAGATCTATTTTCCTTTGGTTGTCTGTGACATATATGGTTATATCTGGGTTCAAGTTGTTGGCGGTGAGGTAATTACTTATACATCCATACTTTTTTTTAAACTACATAAAAATCACCAAAGGAATTCAGGAATGCTGTATTTACAATACAATTTAGGAAATTAACTAGAAAGGACCTTGATACTAATGTGGTTATAAGATTATAGCTGCATATTGTTGGGATTTAAACACACACACACACACACACACATTTAGATAAATAGCTTCTCAATCTTTATCCAGAAACGCCTAGTATTCAACAAATCCCTTCAGCCTAGTCCAGCTTCCCCCAGCAAAAGAGAACAGTTCAGACACAAGCGTGAGACAGGGAGAAGCAGGAGACAAAGGTTCCAAAATACCAAACTGGAGAACCTCAGGGCACAGGAAAAGACTTCCCAGTCTTTGTCAGCTCATTCTAGAGGTGCCGAGGACTGTCCCCATGCTGGTGTTGTAGGCAGCTGAGTAGATACAAATACACCCACATGCCTCCCTAGGGATGGACATCAGGGATTGATATTCTAAATAGGCAATCACCTTGAGAAAGCCAGGAAGAGTCATTAACCCAACCGCCCACAGGAAGAGCCCCTGTTCTGTATTCTGGTCTGCTTGCTACCTGACTCGCTTCCCCCATTTGATCCCAATTTAATCCATTTCACCTGAGCAATTATGCTTGTACTTTTATTGGTTGACCATAGCCTTGTCCCACCTTATGCCTAGCAAGGTCCTGTGTTTTCCGCCTTGGACCCACCTCACCTCATGGTTTTGCTCTACATAAATCCCTAGAAAAGGCAGGTTCCTTGGGAAACCACTTGGGTCCCCTTCTGTCCCTCTCTTGGACAGAAGCTTTCTCTCCCTCAATAAATATATTCTGCACTTAACCTGCATTGTTCCTAAAACTTATTCTTGGATTTTAGAGAGCATGAACTCGTCCCAGATACCTCTCAGGCTGGGAGTTTCTGGGATGAGGGAACCCACTACAGGGCTCCTCCGCTCAGGGCACTGATGGGAGGTAAGAAAGAAAGGCACAGACAAACCTCTAATGCAGAGCGTGTTTTGCAATGGGAATTTACTGCCTAAGTCTGTGAAGTACACCCTTTCTAATCATTACAGAACTGGCTTAACTGACCCATATTATATTCACTCAAAACCTGGGCTCTCATGTTAAACTCTAAATTCACTCAGGGCTTCTAACATTTAAACCAGAACACAAAACCAGAGCTACAACAGGTTATTTCACAGCGTGAGGGGAACCCCGCGGTCTCTGGGAATGTGTGAGATCCCTTTTTGGCGAGGTCTGACACTGCTCTTTCACTTGCATTCCAAAGAAAGTGAGGAAATTAACGCAGCACGAATGCTTCCTGATTGAGATAACTTCCTCCGTGTGAATAAAAAATTCATTAGGCTCAAGCATTAAAGAAGAAAACCAGACGTTATAAAAGTTTAATCCTGGATTCAGTGTTTACTCGCTGTAAACGGTCCGGGAGATGGGGGGCGCTGCAATTCCTTCCCAATACAAAATCACGACGAAGAGCCAGGAGCAGAGGAGATGCTCACGGCCGCAGGGCCCCGGCAGGATGGGAGGCCGCTCCTGCCCCAGACCCTTGGCTGTCCCTACATCTCCCAAACTGCTCACAGTCTGCGGCTCTCGCGGGGCTCAGGCATTGGGCCATATTCCCCCAACCGGGCCGGCTCTCAAGGAACGGGATGCACCGGAGCGGAACAGGAAAGGCAATGTGCAACAGCAGTACACACGCGCCACCACACGGGGGCGGCGCCGCACGCGCAGCCATTGCTAAGGAACCTTACGGGAGGGAACATCCGGCCAAGCTTCACAGCAGCTGGAAAGTAAGATGGAAAGCGGACCCCAACCTCAGGCCAGGACTATGGGGATCTCCGCATCTGCCCCTAGACACCTCTAAGAAACGGACAATTCAGAAATAACGTCATGCACAGGACGGGACTCAAGTCTTAATGAGAACGTCGCTGCTGCATCTGTTGATTTTAACAGCACAGAGGAAGCTAATCAATACTTCATTTCAGAAAACGTGTCATGGGCTTCGTGACATAAAGCAAAGGACCCATCGGGTCTCCAGAGGAGAGGTTTTTATCCAGCTGAAATATCACACTCCTGTGCGGCGCAGGAAACGTAACGCCTCCTATGAGAAAGGACGGAGGTCACGAGGCAATGAAGAAGTCACATCTAGCGAACCAAGCCGGCAGCCACCCTGTAGAACGCTATCACAGCAGCGGGGGAGCAGGGGGAGGGCGCTGAGCTCGGAGCACCAGGCCTGGCTGTCACCCAGTTCGCTGAGCTCTCTGGCAAGTCCCTGGCCTCCTTGGCCCCGCACATCCTCCTCTACGCAGGAAGAGCTGCTGTGGTTGTCCCCAAAGCTCCCCAACCCACTAGGCGAGCAGGCCACCACGGTCAAGGATTTCATCACGGAAGGCAGGGACCACGGCGACCTTTGTGAGGCACAGACTTACTATCGTTTTGCCTAAGAACGCGGGCTGTCAAACTCTTAAATTAAAAACACAAATGAAGTTCAATTCAGGGACTTTTTAAAAGTTGATAAATCGGGCATAACTAGATCAAAAGATAAATAAATTGTAGGCCAAGCAAAAGAGATTTTTTTTTAAAGAAAAGGGAAAGTTTAAAGATGAATATCACTAGTCAGGCAATGGCATGGGTTGCTCACTTCCCTTTCCCCGGGTTTCATTTCCCTTTTCAGGTCTCAACACTCCTAATATGTAAATTGTTCCATATGAAGACTTCCAGAGTCCTGGAGGTAAAGATTTACAGGGATCTTTATGCAAAAGAAATTACATCTGGACTTCCATCTGATAAAAAGGGGATACACAGCACTGAGGACTTACAAAAAAAAGCTAAAGTGGGGGGGGGTGCTGGGGATTTAGCTCAGCGGCAAAGCACCTGCCTGCCAAGCTCAAGGTCGTGAGTTCGGTTCCCGGTACCTGAGAAAAACCAAAAAAAAAAAAAAAAGCTAAAGTGGGTAAGAGTATATGGAAACAAATACTTGAAACAAGTAATATACCGTAATTGAAGATCTGATTGTAACTATTTAGCAACAGTTAAATTGTAAAACCTGGGTGCACTATGATTTCAGGAATATGGTAGTAAAACAGACGCAGCTTGAGCACCTACTAAGTGCCCAGGTGCTTTGCTAAGAACTTGGGATTCTTCTGAATTACTGGCCTCACTATCCCATCAGAAGGCACATCTATTTTTTAACTGTATAGAAACTAAGTAGGAACAAAGGTTCAGAGTGGTTAAGTACTTAGACAAGGTCACACAACTTAGAAAGTAAATAAGCACTAAACCCTCTTCTACTCAACATCAAATCTTCTCTTTCCATAAGTGATACATACTTCAAGCATCCAAGTAAATAGTTAAAGAAAACTTCCCCTTTTTATGCGACTGTCTTAAATATTGGCCATCATTTCAAAAGGAGCTTATGTTAAGCATGACTTCATAAACAAATTACTTGTGAAAAAGAAAAACCACATCCAGGTTAAAGTTGTAAATTGAAAAGGCATATTTCAAAGAGCACTTCCTGAGACAGAGAAGCAATTACAGCCAACTCCTCTACAACAAAGCAACAAGCCAGCTTAACACAAAAGAAACATATCATTTCTGAAATGAACCATCTCTACACAGATAATTGAACACAAGCAACTCAGAAATATCTCTTTTACAGAACTGGGTATACCAGAAAATGCTCGCTTCTGACCGGTAGAAGGTAAGCAACATTCAATTAACTTCGTAATAGATCATTATCAGAAAGAAACCTTTACCTAGCTACTCATAGTCTATTTTTTAAAAAAAATTACAGAAACTACATTGGTAAAGGACCTTAAATAGGTTATGTTATCATCTTCCCATATTATATGATTTTGTACTTTTTTCAATATTCTTTTACATTAACTGTAAGTGTAATTTTTTTCAAGTTAAGAAAATGTTGATGTATAAATCATAAATATACAGGGGCTGGGGATTTAGCTCAGCGGCAAAGCGCCTGCCTGGCAAGCGCAAGGTCGTGAGTTCGGTTCCTGGTACCAGAGAAAAACCAAAAAAAAAAAAAAAAATCATAAATATACTTAGGTGTCTCTACCACATGGTTTGACTTACAATGTTTCATGAGGTTACTAGCTTTTAAGAAAAGAATAGAGATAATCATGGAATCTAAAGCTTTTCAGAGTTAACTTGAAAGCAAACTGTTTAATACTTACCCAAAACAATTCTGTATTTGCACAGCATAACCTGTATTATAATGCCTTTAAGACCCATGGAAGCATCTCTCATTTTTTCAAACTGAAGCAAATGAATACAAATGTGGATGACAAATGGACTTCATAAAAGCAGCCTGAACCCAAATGGGGGAAAGCTGACTTATAATAATTTGTAAACACAGAAATTTATGAGAGGAGAAAAAGGAAAACAAAATTTCATTTACATTATAATTGCTACTATTTATAAATTCACTGAGATTTAAAAATAAAATTTAAGTAGCTCCAGTGGCACAATCAGCTGGCAGGCAGTACTTAAGATTAAAAATAAGAGCTTAAGATTTAAAAATAAAACTTAAGAGTTAAGCCTCTAAGTTATTCTCCTCTGTATGACACTGAAAGTTTGAATTTTTCTATGTAGTACTTTTCTCATTTCATAGAAATGAGTATCTAGCTACATCAATACTTGGAAAATCTAACATGGGTTTTTAAATATATAGAATTCTATTCCAAAGTCATATTTAACCCAAACAGTTTACAAACTAGTTTAGGAAATCAGGAAGGAAGAAAGCCAGGAAAGGAAGGAAGGAAGAGGGGCAGCAGGGAGGGAACGAACTCCTAGTCTTTTGTTTGTCCACGGCCACTGCTCAAACTAATTTTTACCAACAGCCCATGATGAAATGCATGACAGCCTGCTAATCTCCCCCACAGTTTTCACTAAAGAGAGATCAGGGCTGAATGACAGAAAAGTCATTCTGCAAAGTGACACTTTTGAAGGAAATTTTTCTAACACCGCCATATTTCAAGGAGATGCCTCGAGGTTCCACCTCTTTGTAGCAAAGCTATTTTTAAAACCTCTGCTGGCAGCTGCATAACTGGCAAGAGAGGTTTCACACCTCGGGAGTCTGTGATATTTACGATCATAGCTAAATCCTTTCCCACTTGAAATGGGCACATTTTCTGGGTGGTGGAAATTTATTAGTTTCTATATATACATCAAGTTGCCTAGTGACTTATCACTACTTCTCTTACATACTCCGTTTTAAAACTTAACTTGACAAATTGTATAGAGGCTTCAGTGAAAGTTACTGCACTGGCAGTAACTTTTTAAAGGCACAGAGCACCCTGTGCACCTCGGAGGTGGCTGAGATCAGCTTCAGGGATGCGGCTCGTGACCAGCAGCCTCAGCCTTGGGCGTGCCCTACTGTGCGCTGAAAATAGCTCACCAGTGGTCCAGCTCTCCACCTGGAGACCACAACGCAGAACACTGCTGTTTCTGGACCTATGATAACGCAAAGAGAACATAACGTAATACTATGAAGAAGAATGTTTGCCACTCTTTTTTCCTGAGCTTTGCAACCATTTATTCCTCCTGAAGGGGCGCATCATTCTGGGACAAACCACAATACCAGGTCGATGCCCAGAATGGACAGAGTAAACTCCTATTCCATCGCCCAGCTCCAAAAATCTGTTTAGTACATTGTCCTTGGATAGAAGATACATCAAGGGCCAGGGATGTAGCTCAGTGGCACAACGCCTCTCTGGCAAGCGCAAGGTCCTGAGTTTGATTCCCCGCACCAAAAAAAAAAGAAGACATCAAATATTAAACTGGTAAGAATAGATACTACACTGGATCTTAGCCAAAAGGTCATAAATGACTGCCACTTAAAATTAATAATAATAATAATAATAATAATAATAATGGTTTCATTGCCAGCCATAAAAGTCTCCCTTGAGAAACCAGGTAAGAGCTGCTGAGGGTCATTTCATCAAACCCATCCTTGACTTGGCAAGTATTTACCTGTTGAGAACCACTATGTGCTCGGTAAAGACACAGAAATGAAGAAAAGTTTCTCCTCTCATATGTACTGTCCAGCAATAACCAGTATGGTTCTCTTGTTAGTTTTTGAAAATATATTTTTTATATTGAAATTGTATCTCTTGAGTAAAAAAATTATTATTTGGACATTACTAGTTTTGGTTACTAAATCTGTAAACAGAATGATGATAAATAATGGCAAACCATTTTAATAAGATTTAAAATCCAGATTGATTTTGCCCCAGTTAGTTCAATCGAACAATGCTGCCCAATTTCACACTGTAGAAGAGGATCTAAAGGAAGCACATTCCTTGGGAGGGAGGAGGGTGAGCAGGGAGCACGAAAACGAATGATTCTGCCAGCGCACCATGACATCCAAGCCATTTCACCAGACACGTACAGTGTCAGGGCTGCGGGTGTAGCTCGGTGGTAAAATGTGTGCCTGGTATACCTGATGCCTTGTGCTTGATTCCCGGCACAGGGCAAAAAACAAACAAAAAAAAAAATCAATGCATAATAGCACTAACCAAAAAAAAAAAAATAGCACTAACCTCTAGAGAACATATTCCTTATTGGGTTTACAACATTAAATGTTCTTAAAATGTTTTAAAAAATTAAAATTCACTAACCAGAAAATAGTGTAAGAATGATAAGCACCTACTTCTCAACCAAGGGTCTTATTCTAATTTTTTAAACTGTGTTTACAGTTTCTAAGTATCATGCCTATCAACAAGCTATAAGATGACTATCCCAAGCAACCAAGACCAACCTGCCCCTTCCAACAGCTCACACCCAGATGAATACAAAATCGCGGCCCTTGTGTTCTACAGCTGTATCTTCATCATCGGATTATTTGTTAATGTCACTGCATTATGGGTTTTCAGCTGTACCACCAAGAAGAGAACCACTGTAACCATCTATATGATGAATGTGGCACTACTGGACTTAATATTCATAATGACTCTGCCCTTTAGAATGTTTTACTACACAAAAGGTGAATGGCCATTCGGAGAATACTTCTGCCACATTCTTGGGGCGCTTGTCGTGTTTTACCCAAGCATCGCTCTATGGCTTTTTGCTTTTATTAGTGCTGACAGATACATGGCAATCGTGCAGCCGAAGTATGCCAAAGAACTTAAAAACACGTGGAAAGCTGTGTTCGCGTGCATAGGGGTCTGGATAATGACCCTGACAACCACTGTCCCTCTGCTACTGCTCCATGAAGACCCGGACAGAGCCTCCTCCCCAGCTACCTGCCTGAAGATCTCCGACATCATCCATTTAAAAGCCGTCAATGTGCTGAACTTCACTAGACTGATATTTTTTTTCTTGATCCCCCTGTTCATCATGATTGGATGCTACTTGGTCATTATTCACAGTCTCCTCCGTGGCAGGACCTCTAAGCTGAAACCCAAGGTCAAGGAGAAGTCCATCAGGATCATCATCACACTCCTGCTGCAGGTGCTCATCTGCTTCACGCCTTTCCACATCTGTTTCGCCTTCCTGATGCTCGACGGGGAAGACAACAGCTACAACCCTTGGGGAGCCTTCACCACCTTCCTCATGAACCTCAGCACCTGTCTCGATGTAATTCTCTACTACATTGTCTCCAAACAGTTTCAGGCTCGAGTCATTAGTGTCATGCTATACCGTAATTACCTCCGCAGTGTGCGCAGAAAAAGCTTCCGATCCAGTTTCCGATCTGGTAGTTTACGGTCACTGAGCAACATCAATAGTGAAATGTTATGAAGACAAGAAAGGTGTTTCCCTTGCACCTCTTTAAATTCTTTTCTCCAACTATTCTAGGGTTAGTGGAGATTCTGCATGATAGTAGCAAGTTTATCTAAATAAACTTTTAAAATAAACTAAATAAGCTTTTAAAAATTCACCTTTTAAAAAAAAACTTCTTTTCAAACTTTAAAAACTGTTCTTATTGTGGCAACAGGATTCAATATCCTGATTTTTATTATTTTCATTTTTTTTGTTGTTTTGTTTTGTTTTTCCGGGTACCGGGAATTGAACTAGCGACCTTGCGCTTGCCAGGCAGGCGCTGTGCTGCTGAGCTAAATCCCCAGCCTTATTTTCATTTTAAAACATATAAAACATTTTCATGAATTAACAGAGAAAAAATACCCAAATGTTTTTCATACTCCAGCCGTAATCTACACGGATAACTGTCGTAACACTTTGGATTTAATTCTGTGCACAAGGGACCACGTGACAAAAAACCCAGCTACTGCTCAAAATCATTTGAATAAACTATTTTCCATTTAGATGTACCTCTTTCGTGTCTAATTTATGCTCGGGACTGGAGGTCTAAATTCAGTATTTAACATTCTAAACCCAAAATTTCTGAGATTTTTACACAAGCAACTATGTTCAATTCAACACATGAGTGCAGAGCAAAGTTCCTGACGGCAAGCAGCAGACGGGCCTGGAGAACCCACAGCCAGTGTTACTTCCCTCCTGTAAATTTACTTTCTTTTGAAAACAGACTACCTGAGACTACGATGGAAACTTAACCTGAAATCTTATTTCTGCTCAGTAATCCAATTCACTCTTATGACCTGAGCTTTTCACTATGTGGTGAAAGATTTCTCTTCAATGTTGACAGATGGCTCTTCTTGTGTAATTAAATATTCTATTACAAAAGACAGATTTTTCCAGGCTCTATGTCACAACGTAAGTAGCACTAATCAGGGACCTTAGCTACTTATCCTACCCTGGCTATTTAACTTCTCCATAAAGTAACAAACCAAATAAGTTCTCCATCTAAAAGGAAAGGAAAACTATAATCTATAAAACTCTATCATTCTAAATACTACAGAAGTAAAAAAAAAAAAAAGATCACCTTTATTACTCTGAACATGATCACCTCCTAATGGGACTGAGACCCAAATGCACACACTGGTTATAAATGGATTTCTACAGTTCACATGGGTGCATTCATGTTCTTAAAAAAAAGAATCTAAGAAAACAGTGCTTTGGCACTAGATGATCCCTCAGATGATCTAGAACTTCTCTGAAATATAGAAAAACTGAGGTTGAAAATATTATGTGACTTACTCAGCAAAGAACCAGGACCAGAAACCAAGTTCAAATCTCCTTTCAGGTCCAATTTTCAATAGTAAAAAAGTAAAAAGGTTTACCAAATGTAAACGCTGTCATTACTACATAAGATACAGGAGTCAAGGTGGAACTGGGATACAGTTTCTTCTCAACAAAGAAAACCACTTGACATTTTTAGTTTCAATAGCCAAGTAAGATATTCATAAATATCTTCAAAGGAGTAATTACTGTTATAGCAAAAGAAATAACTTCTGTACTTAATATGGAGCCTTATGGCACACACACACACTCACACACACACACACAGAGTTGACAGCTGTGGAGGTCAGTGGTAGAGTGTTTGCCTACCATGCACCAAGCCCTGACTTCATAGCCTACTTTCAGCGGTATAGACGAATCCACTCTTCTGCAGTGTATTAAGTGGACAGGTCTCTGCAATAGTTTATTGATAAGAGCAGTTTAGTCTTAAAGCACAAAGCACAACAAAAGACTTTGATCAACAAAGTGAAAACACAGATCACCATTCTCACAATAAAATTATAGACAATCTAAAATAGTTAATAAAAGGAAAAAGATTCCTGGTACCCAAATAAATAAATAAACAATTTATGAAAAAATTATTCAGCATTGTAACCAGGCATATTTTAACAAAACATGTAAAAATTCAAAATTCTATTCTGGAGGAGTTTGATTCTAGAAATGTAACACCCACATGCGAAAACTAGTAACTATAAAACAGTAACTACTGTATGTAAGAGTAGACGTGTGACAGGCACGGGTTACTAGACGTAGGATATATATGCATATATATACACACGTACATGGAGCTTCTTTGAAACCAGTGGTTATATTTTCTGAATTTAATGATAATACCCATCATCTGTCAGGTATAGTTTCTACGCAAAGCACTAGAAGAATAGGTGAACAGGTCCATGTATGGTTCAAGGATCGTGTATGGTTCAAGGATCTTACCTTGCAGTCTGGGACTCACTGTAATCAAGACTATGCCTTCAGTATTATGAGTATAAGGAAATAACTGCATAATGTAAAACTTAGTTCTTCCTCGGAGAGCTGGTAGGTGGCATCAAAGGCATATACAATAATACTAATAAATATAATGTAGTAAATACCAATGGGAACATCAGTGTATGTTGTATATACACAAAAAAGGGCAATGAATCTTGGCAAAAGGCAAGAGGGAGCCAAAAGCACACCAAGTAGGCATGAGAATATAAATACTGTACACAGCACGTCCAGAAAGGCCAGTGACTGACGGGGGAAGAGACTGAAAACACTGGACGGTGGTCAGATTGTAAGCTCTTAAAGGAAAGAAGGACAGGAACAGATAGGGGCAGGACCTACGGGAAGCATTTTCGTGTGAACGAGCTCATCTACCTCTCTCCCCTGGGCTGTGAAGCACAGAGGGCCTTGAACTGACACATGATGGTTATCTGTACAGACAGCTCGGCAACAGAACTTGAGAAAATCTACTTGCTTAAGAGTCCATACGCCTAGGAGTGGCACAGCTGGAATCTCCAATCTGTGATGACAAAACCTCTGCCATTCCCACTATTTCAGACAGCCCTAGTGGCATCTTGGAGGAATCTGACCTTCCTTCTGAACGATATGGGAATTTAAAGGTATTAAAAGCAAGGACTGGTATAGTCAAGACCATATTTATTTTTTTTTTTATTTTTTTTTTCTTCCGGTACTGGGGATCAAACTCACGACCTTGCGCTTGCCGGGCAGGCGCTGTGCCACTGAGCTAAATCCCCAGCCCCTCAAGACCATATTTAATCGCAGCACTCGGGAGACTGAGCCAGGAGGATCGTTGCGAGTTCGAGGCCAGCCTGGGCTACAAAGTGAGCTCAAGGTCAGCCTGAATTGCATAGCGAGACCCTGTCTCAAAAAAAAAAAAAGAGATTAAAAGCATTTAATGTGCAACTGGACAGTAAGCAGGATGACTGGTGATTTTAGAAATTTGGTGGTTACCGGAGACCTTTATAAGAGAAGTTTTAATAGTGGTGAATAAAATAATAATTAAATACGAAGTAAAAAATTGTAGAGCATGCAGATAAATTTGGTGCTAATGGAAAAGAAAAAGATGTTTTATGAAAAACAATGCAAGGCCAGGTATGGTGGTGCATGCCTGTAATCCCAGCACTTGGGATGCTGAGGCAGGAGGATCATGAGACCAGCCTGGGCTGCAAAGTGAGTGCAAGGCCAGCCTGAACTGTATAGTGAGACCCTGT